CTCTAGTGCTGGATTGTTATTCTCATTTCCGAAACTCGCCGCACTCCCGGATCTCGTCCTCTTAAGGGTCTCATTGAATTGGGTTCCCAATTTGGAGGAATAAACGGGGGTGCATCAATATTCCAAGAATTTCCCAATGGTAAAAACCCATTTGGTTTTGGTGGGAAGTTCTGATTATTGTTTGATAAAATGTTGGAATTGGTGTTTTCATCAGGAAATTCATCTGGGATTTTGCTGGTTTGTTGGCAGGTATATGTTTCTCTGCAAGGTTGAGGCTGCCAAAGTGAGGATGATCCCAAGAAAGTATTGAAAAGCCTGCTCTGTTCTGAAACAGAGTCCCTGCTTTCTGCATCATCTCTGATTCTAAGTCTGCCAGCATTTGTTGTGCCCTTTCATAAGCCTTGAGGTGGGAGTCCATCCCTCTCGGCCCGTCTGCTACTGCCGGTTTCACACGCCGGAGAGTCTGTTTCGCCTCGACGATTCTCCCCTGTTTCATTAGGCAGATGCCTAAATTGCACATCTTGTTGTTATCTGGTGCAATAGATAATGCTCTTCTGTATGCATCCTCTGCTTCTACATAGTTGTTTTGCTGCATCAGTGCCCATCCTAAGTTTCCCTGAAATAATAATTGTATGACGGTTAGTTATAAAATAATTGTTACACTCTGACTTTTGTTTTTTTTTTTTTTTTTTTTACAACAACACTTTGACTTTTGTCACCATTCCACAAACACTACTTTGACTTCTCATTTGTGATTTATATACATATAATAATATGGGACCTTATTATAAATATTATAATGGTTTTTGAACATATAATTACAACTCTGTGCCAATGTTACATCGGCATATGTAGAAAGGTTTAATGTAACAATTGTTTCAAATGAAGTAGGACGTAGAAGTTATTTAATGTAATATGAGGTAAATTTCCAAACATTTAATTAGACATACGCCGTATTAATGACTTAATGTTACATTGGCACAAGTAAAAAGGTAAAATGTAACCGCTGTTTTGGTTAAAGTAGGATAGATGGGTGAATTTTCGTAACCTGGGATCGTATCATGCTAGAATTTTGTCGTATATTTAAACATTAATAAATTTATTACCAATTGAAGAATTGAATAATTTTATGGACTAATTTCTTACCAGCAAACGAGTGGCCTCTTGCTCCACTGAGACCTGAAATTTTTTCCCTTGAGATCGCGCTGTTTTAGTCCTTTTCCCATTAAATGCTAACCCTTGTTGAATCAAATACAATTTGTGCTTCAAAAGAGCTATTTGATCATCCAATCTCCACATCTCTGCAACAACAAAACCACAATCAGTCAATTACCAATAAATTTTAGGATTACACCAATTTGTTTTTTAATCAATTTTCAAAATTCTAGTAAACTACCTTATAGAGATCCAAGAGAATGTTGTCAAGAGACTCCTGAGCCTGCTCCGAACACCGGCTTCGCAACGATTTAATAGCCTCAATCGCTTCATCAGCCCGATTTTGCTGTTTCATTACAATAGCCATATCCTTAAGAGCACTATCAACTCTATCTCCAGCATTAATTGCAGCCCAAAATAGAGGAATTGCCTTCTCTGGATCTTTATCCACCAACTGATCGAAATAACCCCCAAATCAAAATTCAATACATCAAAAAAAAAAAAATAAAAAATAAAAAAACAAGTACTGAATTATACACAAACCTGAACATGTTTGGCTCTAACATAAGGAGTATCACCAACAGGAACTTTATGGGTAATGTGGAATGACTCGGACCGGGTTCGAGGCATCGAAAGTGGCTTCGCTGGAGAGCATGGTGCTGAAGCTGATTTTGATGGCCTAAACCCAGGAGGACCATTCCACATTTCTTGCATTTTTTTAATTAATTTTTATTTTGAAGCAAGATATGAGTTTTTAGTAATGAAGATTAAGTTAAGTTAGATTAAATTAAATAATAAGAGAGATTAGATAAAAATGCAGATAATCAGACTCTCAAGTGCAGTTTAAGCAGAGGAGAGAGAAAGTTGAGGAGGAGGCAGAAGGGAGGGGAGCGGAGATGAAGAGAGGAAAGGGCAAGGTAGATATTTGGTTTGAAATTCTACCGTTGGGCAACGGTACTATGTTTATTTCTTTTTTTTTATTTTTATTATTTAATTGATTGTTCAAGTAGCCGTTAGTCCGTTACAGAGTCAGATATACGGTGGTATACATGTTCAGGTGATTGGGCTTGAATCAGCCCATCAATCTTCCTAATGGGAATGAAAAATGAAAATGCTCGATTTGGGTTTAAGATTTTGACAAAGGACTAAACGTCTAAACTTATACTGTATGATTAAAGAAATCATTTTGTTTCTTTCATGGTCCACATTATATTTTTATCAAAATAAATTAATCATCTACTTACCCTACTTGTATAATATAATACGGAGTAAAATGACTTTCTCAGGTCAAAACTCTGCGTCAATGCAAGTGATGCATTTAAAAAAATGCGAAGGTAGTACAACATGTAAATTGTAGCAATATTAAATACAGAGTAGTAATAAATCTACTTTTTAACATAATAAATTAGTCAATTTCAATACTAATTAATCATGATACCACTTCCTTGGCGAATATACTTTAAATCCACAATATAGAATTTATAATTTGGGGTTTTTGTTTAATTAAAAAAATAATAATTTGAAACTTATACTATATTTTATTCTATTAGCACAAACAAGTAATAATTGAATGAACAACATAGAAGTTTGAATCAAAATGATAATAATTGAATAAACAAAGGTTGTTCTAACTACGTAGCTATTGTAGATAATCCATTTGTCTGCTCTTTCATTCCAAATTGGTAGTCCCTGCATATTGAAATCAAATTCATTAATATAATCACTTGATCAGCTAACAACTTTATAGGTCTTCCAACATAACTCATTATTATTATTACTATCGATGAGTTCATTATTTGTCATTTGTATAAAATCGCCCTTCACCTTTACAAAGCAGCCCTTACAATGAACAAGGGTAGGAAACGCCGCAAATTGGGATGATCCAGTGAAATCAATCTCCCTCCACATTCAAGGAGGTATCCTTGGTATCCTCTATAAAGTAATGGTAGAGTTCTGGCGTCAACAACTCGGCTTGAAGTAGGAAATACATTATTATAGGTAACACAAACCATACCCATTACATCCGATGATGCGGCGGTTAGGGTTAGAGTTAGGGGTTCGCCGCCAAACCGTAAGATCAATATCAATCCATTTACAATTATCTGAGCAAAAAACAGTCAGCTTCAGAGTCAAAGAAGGATCAAAGGAACTACAATAACCTGAACCTATAATCGAAACGTCTTTCGATGTCATTATAGTAAGGATCCTCACACACTAAACTAGCCCATGATGTCTAATGTCTTATACAACGACACCCGATTCGGGGGAAGAGCAACCCATTGTTTTGTTAATGGATTACAAGTGTAAAACTGGTGATGACTATCTTTTCATTTCTATTAGAATTAATGCATAAGATTAAGTCTTTGAATGCAGCAACAAGTTTAGCTTCAAAAGGAAGAAAAGTCAAGAGGAATTTCGGAGAGTTGAATACCTTGTGAAACGGGGACTTTGTCCGAATTATCCCTTCATTGTTTACTAGTCGCATCGACAAAAACGTCCATGGAGGTTTCTTCAAAGGAAAAGAAAGATGTTTCTTGTGATTAAGGAATTTCATCCCAAATTTAGGGTTCGATATTAAAGATAACCAACGTTTCGATACAAATTTCGCTGTGATTACACTTTCACACCACGGAAGTCGAATAAATATTTCGATCAATAACTCGTCAACAAGATCTTCAATGCTTGTGCCTTTTTTTTTTTTTTTTTTTTTTAATGATGATAGATTTTCCATGCTTGTTAGATTTGCCATTTTGTTAGGGTGAAAAACCCTAATTTTTATATATACTGTCCTCTGTTTATCTTTTTCCCTAAAAACTTATATATGGTTAAAAAAAATTCTTCATTTTCTGTAACCTACTGCACATAATATCAAATATGATCTTAAATGAATTAAAATAATAATTATTATAAAAATAAAAATTGCCATATTAACATAGTTTGATTTTTATTCAAGGAATTATATAAATTTGTCAAAAACTGATACGTACGTACACCAAAACATGTCATGAAAATAATATGATTAGTGTCAAGCTAGGGTTTACGATCTTTTTTACTAAACGGGTCATTATGACATGACACGGTTAATCAAACCGACTTGGGTTAATGTTGAAATTTCCAACATAAAACCAAGAATAATTCGGAGTAACTACTTATATATGGAATTTGATATAAATCTTTTAAATGAGGCTAATATTTTTATTTTTTTATTATAGCACAAACAAAAAAAAAAAAAATAGGAAAGATAGATAGTGTTAAGACTGAGAGTAACCATTAAGAATACAAAGTAATAAGTAGACCTGGTTATTGGACATGGTAGCCCAATGATAACAGGGTCAAGGTCAAGTTTGAAAATTTTTTGAGGGTCATTATTAACACATCGTCAAATCAAGTTTTTTAATGGACATGCCATGACTCTTATGATCGAATATATAGAGGCAATATAGGGTTAAAATTTTTCGTTCATTTAATTCATAGTAAAAATAATGTAAAAAAAATTACATAAATATATTCGTATTTATATGTACTTAATTATGACTTTGTCCAATAATATATATTTTAATGGATAGTTTGTTGGCTCGGTCATTATCGATCCACAACCACACTGACCCGACCTTTTATTTGAAAATATGACCTTTGACCGACCTAACTCGACCCGCCCAATAACTAGGTCTAGTCATAAGCGGGCTTGGAGGATTGGTAATGGGTGAAAGTGGAAGAGAGATAATTTGATAACCAATTACCATGTTACTATGCCCTAATTTAAGGCCCGTAATGGAGTAACACTGTCACAGGCTAACATGCTAATTATTAATAACTACAACCTAATGTAGGTATTAATACCTACACCCCCGATCCCCACGTGTACTATACAACTTGATTAATAAAAATCAATTTCCCTTATAATTTTACCAACATTTAAAAGTTCTCTCTCCTCATAATTTTACCAGTTTCTCTCTCCTAAACTACCAACATCTTCCAAACTTGTCTTGAAAAAAAATCAGAATTCTCTTAGGTCTATACTAAAACATTAGATTTAAGAGACGAAATCGAAGAAAATTTCTACAAAAGAATGACTAACAATCAAATTGTAAGTTGATTTTGTTTATTTTTTGAAAAAAGTGAGTAAGTATAAAGATGGAGACTATCTTTTTACTTTTTTCATCTTTTGGGACCTCACTTTTATTTTTTCACCTTTTGGGACCTCAAGTGACTTTTCCGGCTAAATATTAATTGTGGGTGAGTTAAAAAATAGTCCCCTGGTTAAAAAAGATAGTCTCTATAAAGTCAACCTTTAAAAGATAGTCTCTTATATAGAAAAAAGATAGTCCCCTATAAAGCCAACCTAAAATGATAAAAAAAAATAGTCCCCCTAAAAGTGAGGCTAAAATACCACAAATATTATAGAATAATAGATCTATCAATATCTGTAAAAACTAAGGCTAAAAATAAATACTCAAATTTATTTAGAGTATTAATAATTTATATTACTTGCACAAAATAATTTCCTCCAAATAATAACAAAAAAAAAACAGAAACTCAAAATTGTTTGAAAAATCTCTCTCGCATGCACCATGTTTTGAGCGTTAATAATTTTTTAGAGCAGTAATTAGCGAGAAATGACTAATTGAAAGCCTTGCTCACCAAGTTTATTATGCATGTATGTACATTCAATATGGTAATTATCTTTCTATCCCTTATTACAAGAGTGATATGCAGTGGATGTGAAGAGGTTCTAAAAAATTAATTGGGTTTGATTTTTTAAATAAGCTTTGGTTAAAAATAAATTTATAAACGTTTAACCAAAAATAAAAATTTGCTTAATAAATTTTTTTTTTTTTCATACTAGCTTGGGTTAAAAATTAATTTATAAACGTATTTCATTTTTATTAAATTTATATTTGATAGGATTTAAGTTGGAGAAATAGGGATTTTGAGCATTCTCGTTAAACTGACTCTTAAATTATATAATAAATTTGATACGACAACGATACTTAATCATCGAGCCGTCTGCCTGTTGTCGGCATTTATTTTCAATTACCAAGCAAATACAACTCTGGCCCCATATTTCTTGGTAATTTTATTTTTAATAAATTAATACGGTATACAAAATAAAAATAAAAGATCCTTCAGTTTTTGGATAAATAACAGTTTAAAAAATTGTACTTAAATTTCCTTCAGTTATTTTTTTAGGAATTTGAAGGACCTATGGTCTTGGAATTGACATTTATTCAATGAAGGGACTATATTTTTTATTTTTTTTTGAAATTCAATGAAGGGATTATTTTTGCTCCAGTGAGTTAAACAAGAATTAGTTTGCCGGATTGTTAACTAGAGGTCTTAAAAGGTGAAAAAAAAATGAGTGAGGTTTCAAAAGGTGAAAAAACTAAAAATTTAGTCCCCATTGTTATACTTAACTCAAAAAAAGTTCAAACAATAACTTTTTATTTGCCTAATTCTTCAATAATATGAAATTTCAGCGGTAGTAGTTCATGATTTCTTATAATTTTTATCATAATAATAATTTCTTGTGATAGATTATGGTACAACGATGTTTGGTACACTTTATTTTAAGTGGAATTAACTTGTGGTGTGTGTTATTAAATTAGCTTATAAAATTACTTGACAAAATAAAAATAGAGTGTAATTGCCTAATTTTATGGACAAATGATCTACTTCGTAGGATTATAGAAATGTAAATTTAGTTCGGAGTGAAAAATTATTTTTTTATGAATGTTCATTTTTATTTTGGTAAATGTTCATTTATATATTAGTATATGGTCATTCACAAATTAATAGTTAATCATTAGAATTCTTCACATATCTAGTAAGAAATTTCAATTAGAGTTTGTGAAAACTCATAGTTTTTAATGGAAGTGATTCTTATAATTAATGTTAATTGAATTATGTTACAACATTTTTCCATAATTATAACGTAATTTAATAAAAACTATTATTCGGAGAATTTCAACTAGCTAGTACATTTAATCTATCGTAAATGTTCATTTTAGATAGACCTTATGTTCATTTGTAGAAGATTAAATATTGAAGTTATAATTGCCAACAAATATTCAAATTATAATAATTAAAATTAAAGACAAATTATCAATTTGATTTATGAAAGTGAAGCATCAATCATCAATTTATATTACTTAATTTGTTACTAAAAAGTGTTATTTGACGAAAATTGAATAGTAAATTTTAATCTATCGTAAGTGTTCGTTTTAGATGGAAAAAAGATCATTTTAGATGGAATTTATGTTCATTTATAATCGTTATCATAATAATATATATATATGTTCATTTAAATTTGTTACATGTTCATTCATTTCTTTGCTTTATATGTTCATTCTCATATTGAAAGATGTTCATCTGCAATCTAATACAATATTTATTTTTATATCTAAATATATTAATTTAGTTTTATACTTGTTCTCATATTAAAAGATATTTGTTTCAAATTTTAATACTTGTTTGTTATTATATTAAAAAAAGCTCAATTTAAATTTTATATTTGTTCATTCTCGTATTGAAATGTTCTTTTGACTTTTAGTATATGTTCATTTTGTATGTTGAAAGATGTTCATTAGATATTAATACTTGTCCATTCTCATATTGAACTATGTTCATTTTATGGTGATGTGTTCAAAATTTGTTTTTATAAATGTTTATTTAATTATCCTGCTTTGTTCATAGTGTATTTTGATTGATACTTACATTTTACTTTAAAATAATTTGATCTCTTATTACACATGACAATAAAAATAAAAAAAAAAAAAAAAAGTTGAAGACGATTAAGTGTATATTGAGAAAAATATATGTATCAAGGAAAACGCACAAACATTATAAGAGTAAAAGGGGGTACAACTATATACACAAGGACGATAATTCTATGTACTTTTTATTTATACCAAATGTATTCAATTTTTTTTTTTAATTTTTTTTTTTTATTCAAAGGAGGCTGAGCCAAGCCAATAATTCACTTTGTAAGGCACATATATGATATATTGATACGTACATTTTTGAATTTAAGATTTGCACTTTTTTAATTGTTTTTAATTTTATTCTTAAAATTAAGCATATGTACATTTGAAAAGTAAAATAGTTCCCTTTTATGCTTAAGAAACAATGAGTATGTATTAATTTAAAATGATATTTAATTGTAATTATTTTAAATTCTATATTGAGTGATATTTTTTCAAACAAAGCCTATTATTTGACAAAATAATAGGACAAATAAATAAGAAAATCTGTGTAAAAATAAAAATGGAAAACATATACTAATTTGAGTATAGCACGTCGTATTACCAAAATTGAATATTTAATGATATAAAATTAAACATTTACATATATAAAATTGAACATTTTACATGTGATTAAAAACCGAAAAATTATAAAATGACGTCATTATGATGAGAAGGGGTGCAAAGAGTGCTACCTACATGGGGGTGTAAGTAAAAATTTTTATAGTGCAACATAAGATCATTTCCACAAATCTAACATATGTAGTAAAAAAAACTGGGTGGTCTTGTGAGTTGTGACTCTTGTCGGTCTTAACATTCAACATAATTTGTTCGTTAGCTATTACTCCTCCGTCCCTTATTTACATGCCTTCTTTTCATTTTACATGGGAATTAAGGAACTTAAAAACCACAATTGGAAATTACAAATATGCATGTGGGGTTAGAGAGAGATAGAGAGAAAGAAAATATAATTGGTAATTATTGAAGAGATGGAGAGAGAAAGTGTTAAAATGATGTCAAAAGTACACACAAAAAAAAAAAAAAATAAAAAAAAAATAATAATAATTTGACAACTTATCAAAAAAGGAAATATTGTCAAAAAATACATTTTTTAAATAGAAATAGACATGTAATTTTGAAACCCCCAAAAAGAAAAATATGCATGTAAATAAAAGACTCAGAGAGTATTTTTTTTTAATGGAATTCGTTAATTATTTAAACACAATATAATGAACTACTTTTAACAAAAATAGTCCTTTTTCTTTGACGAAACTTAATTAAGCTTTATCATACACTAGTACAACTAGTCAACTACGTGATATACTTTTACTGTTTTTAGTGTTATTAAGTGATTGACACGTTAAATCAAAATAAACATAGTGAAACAACAAGGCACCAAAGTGAAATTATGTCAACTCTAGGGCAACAAAGTATGAAAAATTCCGTTACAAGTTTGAATTAAAAGAAGAAAGTACAAATGGTATATACTCTACTAGTATGATATTCAGTTATTCAGACTTAATTATATCAATTATGATTAAGTATAAATTCATAGCGTTCCTTCAAAAAAAAAATTAGTATAAATTCAGTGACAAAGTGAGACAGCTTAATTCAGAGGGATGAAATTTCACAAAATACTTGATTTGGTGGTAAAAAAAAGTACATTTACTAATTACGTATTTTGTCCCGAGTTCTGTAAAGCTAGAGTTTCAAGATTTGGACACAACATTCACGAGCCTCATAGTAGACATGTACAAGAACAACAAAAACTTCACATAGATCACAACTATAATACTAGTATAATGTTTCTGCCCTGTGACAGAGATACAATCATATCAAATGTAAACATATCCCCGTCTTCTCTAAGAAATCAAAACCAAAAGATAGCATGTACCAATGACCAGTTCCTAGTGCACGTATAGGTCCATATCTTTCAGCCCCATGATTTATAGCGCACGAAAGCTATCTGATTTATCGAGTCTAGCTGTACCAGAACTTGATGATTCCCCCATTGCATCAGGAGAAGCTGTTACTGGAAATGACTCCCGCTTCAGAGATGTTGGTATTCCAGATATCTCCTGGAGAGTAGAAACTTGAAAAATTACACGTGTTCCGTGATAAGATAAATCTACTTCTAAAATTTTATTAAAATCTAAGTTCAATAGTGCTCACAACCACTCAGCAAGCACTTTCAGGCGTTTCAGCAAGTCAATTAATTTGCACAAAGTTGGCAGGCATGCTTCCTTGCTTATAAACGCTTCATAATATAAACTGCTTCCTTAAACACCTCCATATCAACAACAGTTTCACTACATGTATCCTTGTCATTGACATCATTAAGACATTTCATAGAGAAGCATGATTCCACAAAAGGAAACTAGGATTTGGTATTAAAAAAAAAAAAACACTGCAAAACAAATAGTTCTTGTAAATATAAGTCAGTTTCAATAAGAATAGAGTATCAACTTGAATTGAACGTCAGTTTTGTGATGTCTTCAAATACAATTTCTAAATTGCTCAAACTCTTCACATAACCTATATAGCAGTGCCAATCACTTAAAACTCCAACTAGGGCATGTATAGCTTGACATTCCTTTTGGACCAAAAAGATACATCACGACAACAAATCTGCTAAATGTCTTTGAACCCAATTTCTATATTACTCAAACTCTTCATTTAATCTAAATTCCATTGTCAAGCACTCAAAACTCAAACAAGGGCATGGAAGCTTGACACTCCATTTAGACCAAAAAAAAAGCAAAATTTCATAAAGACAGATAACAAACACCCATTATTAACACTAGCAGTCGAGTTCAAGTGATTTAGTTCAATATCATCTTCAACAGGACTTGACAACATTGCATACTTTTTTGTTTAGAATCAAAATATAAATGGCATAGCAACAACCTTTCCCCAATTATCTCACAATATGCTCGATTTGAAATGAAATCGGAACAAAAATGAATCTCGAAATAGTCTTACATTAGAATATCTGTCTTGAAGCCAAGAATTACTTTACTTCCCCTGAAATAAAGATAATGCATTAGCTACAAGTACCGGTAACCCTTTTTTTCCCAGTGATTTCGTTTATGGTTGATAAGAATGATAATCTATCTCTCCAATGAGTCATACCTCATACTACAAAATTCATGGCATACAAATTTACATCTAATAGACTATTAAAATAAACACACAAATATGCAAGCAATAATGAAATCAACATAGATGTCAATTAGCTTAGTTGGTTAAAGTCGTAGAAGGCGCAGTCAGGATAAATCAACCCGACTACGTCATTGCTCTTTTTGGCACCCTTTATACAAAAATACGGAATAGAAACAACAAAACATAGATTAATCATCTGATAGATTACCTTCATAAGATGCATTCTCAAATCACCGGGACGAACACGATTACCAATACAGGCCGCCACAAATTTGGAGTAATTGAACAAAACATCTGCAGCAGCTTGTTTTCTCTCTTCAGTCTGCAAATTACCCAAAAATAAAAAATTGAAATTGAAATAAATTCGATTATTACGAAAACAATTGCAATTAAACAAGTGAATAAATAATTTAGCTCACAAAATGAATTATGAGAGTGACTAGATTGATTACAGAGCAGAGTTAGGGTTTTGATTTTGAAAAAAGTTTCAGAAGAACTATTAAATTAATTATAATTGCGATTAAGTTGAATTACAGAAATGAAAAATTCATAAATAAAAAGGAAAGTGAAAGATTGAGTACTGAACCTCGTAATCCTCTTTCATCTTGAGATTGAATATTTCTTCTTACTCAAATGTCTCGTTCTGTCTTTGATCTATCTTTCCCTTGTGATCTTTCTTTTATTTTCAAGCGGTTAGCTTTTTCTGCTTTTCAATTTAATTTTTTTTTTTTAATTTTATTTACTCATAATAACAAGAAGGATCCACTGAACTTGTAATTTCAACACGAAATGCCTACGTGTATTATTTTTTGTTTTATTTAGGGGTGAAAGTTCGATTTTCGGTTTGGATTATGGTCCAAACTGAATCCAAATCGAAAAAATTCGGTCTTTGATTTTTTAATCCAAATTCAAATCGAATACGGATTCAGTCCAATTCAAACCGAACCGAATTATTAATATAGAAACCGAATCCAATCCATAAACAGAATTTTTTTAGCTTAATTTCGGTAGATTTGCAATTTTTTAATTAAAGATTGTACAATTTAACAAATAATAAGTTAACAAGACCCAAAAATCGACAATACCCAGAAAATTCAATTAAAAATTACTAATTATTTGCGAGAATAAAATTTGAATTTAATTTAACAAATAACTATGCATTGGAGTAGTCTAGAAATGCATAATTATTTGCTATTGGACAAGGGACGCAACTAAATAGTAATTCTAGCCAACAAAAACTACTTTGGAGACCAATTTGCCAAAAATACATAGAAGAAAGATGAAAGAGAAATGGGTAGAAGGGGAAGCGCAACTCCGATTGATTCTTCATGGTCGGTGATGATGGAGCGGAGGCCAGTTAGCGTGTAGCGGAGAAGCAAAGGCTGGTGAGGGTAGAGCGAAGGAATTAAACATTAGTCGCCTGGTCGGTGCTTAGAGGAGGAGCGGTGGTCGGCGATTGACTGAGAATTAGGGATTAGGTTTGCCGTGAGAAAGGGAAGAGAGAGTTAGGGATTTTTTTAGAGGTTTATACATAAAGGGGAAAGTGGGCTGCGGAATTGGGCTTTTAAGATTATGAGCAATAATTCAGTTTTAAATTTCGGTTTTTGGTTTCTTTAAGCCCAAAACCGAAACCAATCCGCAATCCAAATTTTTTTAAAATCTCAAACCGAACCAAACCGAATTGTAAATAAATCCAATCCAAATTATAAATTCGGTTCGGTTTGCGGATTTATTCCATATTACTTTCACTCCTAGTTTTATTGGTTGGTAAGGTGAAGAGCTATAACGGTCGAAACTTCTCACAAGTCTTTCCGGCTTGAGATAGCGGGTTAGATACTTTGGGATAGAGAGGACCTTTCATCGGGGCCATTCGGGACCCGGCCCTCCGTAAATTATTGCAATTAATTAGTTAACGAACTAAAATAACCTATATTTACTTATAAAATATTGGGATATAGTATAGTTTTGAGCAAGAGGTTAAATATTTAAATTGCGGCCCCTCTAATATTTTCGGCCAAGATCCGCCACTGCTTTGAGAGTAGTGAAGGGTAAAGGAATCTCCATTCCGAAGTGCTTACAGTGAGATTTGATACCAAAACCACTTGGTTGTGATATACAAAATTTTCTATTAAACCCCAACAAAATACTCCAACAATTCCCCTCTAGCCCTCCTTTTCAAGGCTTTGTTTGGTTGACAAACAAATTCATGAGAAGTTTGATTTCCAAAGGAAATGAATATATGCATACTTGTTTGGTTGATAATAATGTAGGAATTGGGATCTCCTAGGAAGTTCTACTTCCCACAAAATGGAGGAATTAACTTACCTAGTCCCCGGTCCCCCCCACCCCTAGGTAAATGGAACTTCCTATGAAAAGTGGAAATTCCTACATCCAATCAAACAATTTTTGGGAATTCCTAAGAAATACAATTTTATAGAAATTGAGATTTTTTGGGAATTTCTACTTCCTACATCCAACCAAACAAGGCCCAAAATTTGTACTACTTTGTACTTTGTATTTTTATTTGCTAAATTTTGACTTTTATAGTAAAAAAATAATATATTTGTTTAATACTAACGATTTACACAAATTATATGTATTTGAATATTATAAAAGTCAATTTTTCTTTTAAAATTAATGGCCACATTTTGGGTTCTGTCACTCCGTCTGGAGGGTTGAGACAAGGTGACCCAATATCTCCGTACTTATTCCTACTCTGCGCAGATGCTTTTTCGAATTTATTGAACAAAGCTGCTACAAATAACCTCATTCATGGTAGTAGGATATGTAGGGGGGGCCAGAGCTCACATTTATTTTTTGCCAATAACAGTATTCTTTTTGCTAGAGCGAATGTGCAACAATGTTCCGTTATATAGCTAACATTATCAGCAAGTATGAGAGGGCATCGGGTCAGAAAGTTAACCTAAGCAAGACCGAGGTCACTTTTAGCAAAAAAGTTAATACTGTTCGGAGGGAGGAAATTATTGAGATTTTAGGAGTTCAGGAGGTGGAAAAACATGAAAAATACTTGGGCCTTCCTACTATCATTCGCAGATCTAAAAAGGTGATTTTTGCAGGGCTGAAAGAAAGGTTATGGAAGAAACTCCAAGGGTGGAAGGATAAATTGCTTTTTAAACCAGGGAAGGAGATACTTATCTGAGTTGTGGCTCAGTCAATTCCAACGTATATGATGGGTATATTCAAAATCCTTGACACTCTGATCGATGATTTTCACTCTCTTTTTGCAAATTTTTGGTGGGGTTCGAATGACACCACTAGGAAGATGCATTGGCAAAGATGGGACCTCCTATGTCAACCTAAGGGTAAAGGGGGAATGGGATTCAGTGACCTCCGTTGCTTCTATCAAGTGTTGCTCGCTAAACAATTCTGGCGCCTTCACCATAATACGGGGTCTCTGTTGCACTCAGTTCTTAAAGCGAAGTATTTTAAGAGCTGTGATGTTTTGGAAGCAAATGTGGATTCTGATCCTAGTTATGCTTGGCGAAGTATGTGGGGCGCTAAATCTTTGTTGCTTGAAATGGAGATTAGGTAGTGGGAGTGCAATTAACGTGTGGAGTGATGCTTGGTTACCGGGCAATACTTCATCTCTGGTTCCAACTCCGTCGGTGGACAGTGATATGGAACTAAGAGTTATTGATTTGATTGACCACTCTTGTAATTCCTGGAATATTGAAGCAGTGAACAACACCTTTATTACTGAAGAATGTGCACTTGTTTTGTTAATTCCCCTGTCACATAGATGTCCGAGTGATACTATGTTCTGGTGGCCGAGTAAAAATGGAGAGTATAGTGTTTGCTTTGGGTATTGGCTCAGCAAAAATGGTGGATATTTTGACAATGGAGATACGTGGGATAAGGTGTGGAAGATAATCTGGAATTTGAATACCCCGCCTAAGCTCCGACATTTCTTTTGGAGAGCTTGCAAGGGCTTCCTTGCAGTCCGAGAAAGACTTGTCTATCGCCATTTGCTTGATGATAAAAGTTGTTCAATTTGTGGTAATGGCGATGAGTCTATTATCCACGCTATCTTTGAGTGTTCTGCTGCTAAAGATATATGGGCAACAAGCAATTTCACGAATTTACTTGACCAAGCCCCAAGTGAGAGTTTCACTGCAAGGCAACTGTGGTTGTGTGATAGGGTCTCGAAGGATGAGCTGACTGTTATGACCTCTCTTTGCTGGGCAGTGTGGCACTGCAGAAACAAGGCAACATTTGACAACGAGCCTTTTGATCCTGTTGCAGTAGCTATTGGGATGTCAAAGCTGGTCCAAGATTACAACACTTATGCTGTTAAAGTCTACCTCAGGTGGTTCATGCTGCTCCATCTAGGAATAAGTCATGGCATTGCCCAACCTCGGGTGTTACAAAAATAAATTGTGATGCAAGGGTGGGCAACGAGTTTCAGATAGGTGTGGTGCTCAGAGATGACCAAGGAAGCATTCTTGCTGCTGCAGTTAGAAGGGGAAGGGCAAAATGGTCTGTTGATGAGGTAGAAGCTGCTGCAATGGTGTTTGGTTTAAGTATTGCAAAGAGGCTGGGCTACTCGAAGGTGGAAGTTGAAAGTGATGCTTTGAAGGTGGTCTTGGGCGTTAAACAAAAGGCTGTTGGGTTCTCCTCATTTTTTTCTTTGGATTAATACCATTTTTTAATCCCAACTTTGACCAATTTATTTTTATTAATCCCAACTTTGGATTACTCCTCAATAATCCCAACTTTGATATGGCCTATCATTCCTCGTACCCAACCGGTTTCTTAACCTGTTGTACCAGGTCACTTGACACATGTCAAGTCCTGATTGGTCCAAAAATTAAAAAAAAATAAAATAAAATAAAAAACAAAAAGAAACCAAAAATCACAAAAACCAGCCAGCCACCTCCATCCCACCGCAACCCCACCGCCTCCTCCTTAGCCCCCACCGGAAACAACCATCTAATTAATCCCACCGCAACCCCACCGCCTCCTCCTAACCTCCACTACCACCGCCCACTCCATTTGCACCTCCGAAATCACCAAACATCGCAACTCTCCACCACCAATCAGTCGCCACCCACACAGCCCTACAAATCGCAGCAATTCGCACCCCAGTGCCACCCTTAAACTCCCAGAACACCGCGAAACCCTCGCCACCACCCAAAACACCAACCACCACAAACCACAACAGTAACAACACTCACAAACCCCGAGTCTCCCTCGCAACCAGCAGCGCCGCATCTCCCTCACTCTACCCCGACAACCGCATCTCCCTTACTTAACCACTGCTCCCTCGCATCTCTCTCAGACTACAACCAATTACAACAACATCGACACCAATTGTCACTAACACTACACCGCAGAGCCCCCTTAATAACCGCGACCAACACCAGCCACTAATTTGTGGGATGTTGTTGGTTTTATGGCGATTACGGCGGTGGTGATGGTGGATTTTGTGGGATTTCGTGGGTTTGTAGGTGGTGGGTATTATGGCGAGTATGGCGGTGGTGATGGTGGGTTAGGTTGCCGGGGAAGGAGAGGTGGGGATGGGAAGGGGAAGGGGTGGGCTGTAGACAGCGGCGCAGGGTGGTCATTTAGGCCGTAAAAGAGGGGCTAGGGGCTTTGATTTTTTTTTTTTCTCTTAATTTTTTTTTTTTGGTTTTATTTTTTTTTTTTTAATTTTTTAACCAATAAATTTGCGACACATGTCACTTTAACAAAAAAAATAAAAAATTAACCCATTCAACCGGTAACCGGTTTTTGGGATTGAAGAAAGATAGATCACCTTAAAGTTGGGATTATTGAGGAACAATCCAAAGTTGGAATTAATGAAACTAAATTGGTAAAAGTTGGGATTAAAAAACGGTATTAATCCTTTTTCTTTTAATTGATGATATTGTAGCTAGTTCTTCGGATTTTGATTTTTTTTGCCGTTGTCATGTTAATCGGGCGAGGAACACCTTAGCTCATATGGTAGCTAGGTGGGATACTAGAAATTGTGATGAATTTGTTTGTCTCGGTCCTTTTCCTCAAAGTCTATTAACTTTAGCGGGAATTAATCTTCTTTAATAATATTCCCTGTTGGTTCTCAAAAAAAAAAAAAAAAAAAAAAAAAACTAATTTAGTTTTGTTTTCATAACAATCGAAATCAACTTCTTTTTTTTTTCTTTTTTTTTGTTAACAATTCATTTATCCATGCATATGAAATACCCATTTGGCCATTTAGAATACTCGGCTATGAAAAAAAGGTGATTAACTGCTAAACATCGCCCGCAAATCTCCACATAAAGCCCACAAATTAAAAGTGAAATGACTCTTTTGCCCTCGAACTAAAATTATATTTTCTCTACTCTAGTAAAAAACACACTCTCATCTTCTCTTAACTTTGTAGTCTCACTTTCTCTCTCGAAAATATTTTTTCAAAATGTCGAGGCGGCAAGGCAAGGAAGTGGCGGCACCGGTGGCCGGAGCAAGGGGGTTTGGAGGAGGAAAGGTATGGTTTTTTTTTTTTGTAAATTTTTTTAATTTAAAAAAAAAAAAAAAAAACCGGAAAAGGTGGTGGCCCGGCGGCGACTGGTGGCTGGACGGCGGTGTTTGGGCGGCGGCGTTTGGCCCAGACGCCGACACCACGGTTCCGGCGCCTTTCCCAGACGCCATTGCCACGGTGATGGCGCCTGGGCAGGGCGCCGGTACCACGGCGGCGGCGTCCACGTCAGACGCCAACACCGTGGCACCGGCGTCCTGCCCAGGCGCCACCACCGTGGCTCTGGCGTCTGGGACAGGCGCCGGAGTCCTAATTTTTTTTTTTTCATTTTCTTTTATTTTTTTTTTTGAATTAATTTTTCAAATTTTTTTTTGCTTTTTTTTGTTTTTGTTTTTCCGTTTTATTTTTTAATTTTTTTTTTTACTTTGTTTTTTCCAATTTGTTTTTTTTTGGGTAATTTTTTTTTTTTGCTTTGTTTTTTCCAATTTTTTATTTATTTATTTATTAGGTTATTAATTTTTTTTATTTTTAGGTTGTTAATATTTTGTAATGTTTTTAATTTATTTTCCATCATATGTATATTGTTTTATTTATTTATTTTAATTACTTTTTTTATGTGTATATTACATGTTTATATTGCATATTACATGTTTTGTTATTTTGTGTTAGGCATCGTATTTTCGTTCTGGGGCTGGGAAGAGTATGGACATTATGAGAAGTACGATCAACTCAATGGAGAGCTCGGGGCCCAGACACGTTAGATCCCGTGGTATTTCGGCCTCGGCTCGTAGAGAACGGGTGCACTATTCTGAGGATGATGAAGATGATGACGGTGATGAGGAGGAGGAGGAGGAGGATGCAGATGAGGATGTGGACGATCAGAGTGGACCATATGATGATTACGGTCCATTCAGTCAGAGGCTTGATGATGTGTATGAGACGCGTAGGGTAGACGTGCGTAAGGGTAGAGATGGTAGATTTGTTAGTAGATCTGGCACATCATCTGCGTCCACTGTGTCTGCGGTTAGCAGAAAACGGTCGAGGGCCGTTAATGATTCTTGGGTGGTGAGGGGCGAGGTGGCTGGGGGACCTATAGACGGGAGTGTGATTCCTAGCTTTCTAGGACACATCGCTACCCGTATTTGGGAGGACCAAGAGCGGGCTTTGGATAGCGGCATTTTGAAATGCCAAACCCGGGAGAGGACTTGTAACTTCTTGTGTAGTTGGGCTGAGGCTTGGCCGGAGGAGAGCGAGATGGTCGGCCGATTGAGGGGCACTAGAGTGAGCCACCTTCCTGCCACCATGCATGAGAGGATTGACTCGACGCTGATCACGGCTTTCGTTGAGCGATGGCAGCCGGACACGAACTCTTTCCACCTTCCGTTCGGTGAGATGACGATCATGTTGCATGACGTCGAGGCCATCCTTGGGATTCCCGTAGAGGGAAACCGAGCATCTCTTGTCACAGATGCGGATCAGGCAGATTTATTGGCGGAGCTGTTGGCGGTGGATAGGGCTGCGCTGTACACAGCGGCACTTGGTGTGTGGGATCACGGCGGTGTTAAGATCGCAGCAGTTTTGCAGCGATGTTTGCACCCCACTTCACGTAGGACGCAGGACACACAGCTGGCTGCATATGTTTTTCTTCTTCTCGGGTGTACCTTGTTTCCGGATAAGAGCGGAAACAAGCTCAGGCCACGCGACATAGTTGACGCGTGTGAGCCCGACAGAGTAGGCCAGTTATCTTGGGGGTCGGCTACATTAGCGTACATGTATCGCTAGTTAGGATTCTCGAGCCGGGCTGATGCGGCAGGTATCACTGGATGTATGACGTTGTTACAGACGTGGATATACGAGTATTTCCCGGCGTTTCGACCACACCGCGACCCGGTTCCTATTGGGGATGGCCAGCCACGTGCCTGTGCGTGGAGTCCGCGTGTCGAGAAGAAGTCCATTGACCGCCTGCGATCGATACGGTTATTGCTTGACAGGATGTCCCCATTAGAGGTAAAGTGTTTAAATTATTTCTACTTTTATAGTTTGATGTTTTTATTGTATGAATCTTACTAATTTTAAAAAATGTGCAGGTGAACTGGATGCCTTTCGGCCAGAACCCTAGTAATAGGGTACCCAGGACCCTCTACACGGGACTGATTCAGTATCGTGAGATCGTAGAGGCGTACATGCCGCAGCGCTGTCTTAGCCAGCTTGGATATGTCCAAGTTGTTCCTCCTCCACCAGCATGGCCCTGTAAGGCCGTCCGATCTGCGTCGTCGAAGGAGTACGTCGTCCAATGGCCGGCAAGCATGATTGGCACGTGGGAGCAGTTTCCAATGGTTGCCCGCATATGGATTGAGCAGCTGCAGCGGCCGCCAACTGGGGTGGCTGCCATGTGTGACCAGCACTACATGGAGTGGTACAACCGGCACTCGCACCCGAGGTTGATCAGAGACGTCCACCACGACGACGACGCCGATGATGATGATGTGCCACCGCCCACTGCCGTGGATGCGGTACGTCTCATAAAACATTTGTAGTTGTGTTTTTTTTCATATAATACGTCGTTATTGAATTTTATGTGTTTTGTTATGTGTAGTGGATGGGAAAGATGACGCAGTTGGGACACAGACTTTTTGAGGAGAGGGACAACATGACGACTGCAACAGGCAGAGCTGTTATTGATGAACTGGAACGGGCCCTTGAGCAGTGGCAGTGGGCGTCACAGAGAGATTATTGATATGTCGGCAGTGCATTTATATAACATTTTCCTAGTTGTTTGTAAAAGTTAACATTATCTATTCTTATAATTATTATTTTAAGTTCTTAGAATTTGACATTATATTTTTAGTTTTTATAATTTTTATTTTAAGTTGTAATTAGTGGGCATACGAAAATTAAATACAAGTTCACATTTAAATGGGAAAACTAAATAGCAATAACAATAGAAGGTCACATAGAAAAGGCAACTAGATTGTTCCACTGCTGCACCCGGTCATGATATAGCGCATCCCAGCCCTCTACGCTTGCTGTACGAATGGTGTACCACGTTGGTATGATCGGTGGGACCGGAAAATTGGGTGACAGGTCCAGTCGGATGAAATGTCTGTATGACGGCCCCAGAAATCCAATAGCAACCTCTCTTACCGGTCTGGTGACGGTCTCACGCGAACACCAAGGCAGAACCGTGGTACATGGATAGTAAGCTCCACCATGCAAACCAAGGCCGAAATGCATCACTGCACACTTGTAGATGTTTGCAACGGCGAAGAGATCAAGTGGCGCGTCGAACCAATGATTTTGACCGCAACGTCCTCCTCCCCACCGGATACGCTGCAGAGACCTATCCAAGTCCTGTCCGTACACGTGGCGATAAACAACTCGGTTTGAGGCGATTTCACTGTACATCAACTGACGCACTAAACCGTAGTTGTCTTCACCCATCTGAAACACATCAGCCACAACCCGAAATCCGCAGTTACCATCTGCAACCACATCATTCCACCCGTCCAGGAACGGCATCATGATGTTAGGGATCCTGTCTTTATATGGAAAATGTTCAATGTCCATTCTACCTGTTGCACACATCAAAAAACACAATTAACAAGTCAGCAGAAAACTAAACAAACACTCTAAAAAGTAAATTAAACTAAAGTACCGTACCGGTGCCGGGCATATTCACCGACGAAGAAGTTTGACTACCACTTGATGACGATGTACGACCACGGCCACGACCACGACCACGACCACGAATATACTCAAACGCACTCCTTTCCCGCCGTGGTTGTCGGCCCCGTGGTCGCTCGACCCCCTCAGGTTCCTCATGATCCAAGCACGACGAGTTGAACATGTCATGAAGTACGTGGGTAGCACTACGAATGATTGAAGGGTGGCTGGAGGACACTTGGTCAAACATCGAACGAAACTGCTCCAACTCCTCCTGTTCACGGTTGACTGTCTGTGGAACAGCATGCTCTCCGATAACGAGCGTCCGCCAGAATGGATGAACCTGATCAACATGTAACGACGCCCTATCTTGCGTAATTACGCGGTGAATGGTGCATGCACAAGGTAGTCCATGAGTCACCGATAAAGCACATCCGCACCGAATAGCCACTTCATCACCCAACTCCCTCATCCTGGTGTGCTCGCTCAGAATCAACCCCAAGCAGTAGTGTGACACACGACCATGGAGAATCTTAAATATGAAATGGCTATACATCGTGCCATGTCGCCGTCTGGAGTCCTCGAGAGAGTTCTTGATGCCGTTCCTCTGAGTATCAATAGCCTTGTTTATTCTCCCGAACAGTGTATCCAAAGCAGAGGTGGAAGAATCAATCCAGTCCTTCAGAGCTCTATGAGCGCTCTCAACTCTACATGTAGTAGTGTTTCCAAAATGAAGAACTTGGTTTGTCCAATATTTGACAAACTTTTCCCTCTGAGGCACCCACTGCTGCATCACATAGTCTACGATTGCCGGGCACCATTGGTATGCATCCTTGAAGTTATCCAAGGCTCGGTCGTACTCTGCCTCCGTAGTAGCTTGCAGGATCTTCCGCCACTTACCATTTACCAATCTCTCTGCTGAATCTAAGTTCTTGTTGAAAAGGTTGTAGGCTTTGACTTTCACGCAGTTGTTGATGTGCCATGTGCACAGTAAATGGCTCGACTCCGGAAACAGCTCCGCTATAGGGGCAAAGAGACCTCCCTCACAATCGCTGACGATGGCCGATGGCTGAACACTTGGGCCGATGTAATTTCTCAACTTCTCCAACACCCAACGGTAACTCGCAACCGTCTCATCCTTCATAACTGCATAACCAATCAAAAAGTTTTGGTTCGTTGGAGTCATCCCAACCATCTCAACCAGTGGAAACTTATACTTGTTTGTCTTGTACGTTGAATCGATCAGAATCACAGATGGCCAAGACGAAATCATATCAGCACAATCAGGATGCACAAGGAACAAATGAGTCACCTCCGATGTGTCTTCATCAGATTCAAACCAGTACAGGTAACCACGTGCTTGTGCCTGGTGTAGAAGCTGCTGGATAGGGTTCCTTCCCTCTGACCGTTCAAACCTCAATTTATGTCTGACGTTGTAGATGTGTCTTCGGTTTGGCTGGTCTTCAGGAAATTTCTCCAACACAGATGCTAATATTTTAGCAGGCTTCACTTGAGCATCACTCATTTCTTTTACAATTAGTTTCGCACCAGGACTTAGGCCACTTAACTGTCGATGACCCACTTCATATGCGATCATCTCATGGTTGTGATACCCCCATTTACCGTAACTCTTCACTTCCCAACCGTCACCCCTTTGCTGTTGTCGAACCTTTACTCTGAACTGACACCCACAACCTTTCCGCTTTGTATCAAACCGAATCGCTTGACTGAAATCTCGTTCCTCCCTTTTGCGATAACGGTCGCATCTCAAAATGCGATCCATTCTACCATCCCGTTGAGATTTATGAGTTGCTACTACTAAACAAAAACCTGATCTAATTGCAACATGTTTCGCCCAATCAACCGCTTGTTGAGCATCTTCGAACAGACCATCGTGTACAAAAATCCCACTATAATCATTTCCGTCTCCACCATAATCCTGCAACAATAACATATAAATATAATCACATAAGATTAGATTAAATTAATACATTTGACACAACATTAGCACAAAAGCAAAAACAATAATAAAATATAAACAACAAACAAAGAAATAAAAAACATAAACAAAAAGTATTCAAAAAAAAAAAAAAAACAAATTTTAAAAATAAAAAACATAAACAAAACTTTAGATTAAATAAAAAATAAAAACAAAAAAAAAACATAAACATAAAAAACATAGCGATCAAAAACACAAAAATCAAACACAAAATTTTACATTACATTTTAAAACAATTAAAAACAAAACAAAATAAAACAAAAAAAAAGCGAAAAAAAATTTTAACACAAAAAAAAAAAAAAAAAAAAACAAATTTTAAATTAAATTTAAAAAAAAAAAAAATAAATAAATGCAGTGGCGCCTAGCCAGGACGCCGCTACCGTGGCGATGGCGTCTAGCCAGGACGCCGCCACCGTGGCGATGGCGCCTGGCCAGGACGCCGCTTTCATGGTGGCGGCGTCTTGGCCAGACGCCAATGCCACGGTGGCGGCGTCCTGGCCAGGCGCCATCGCCACGGTGGCGGCGTCCTGGCTAGGCGCCACCACTACGTTCACGGCGTCCCGGCAGGACGCCAGCCGCCAATTCGTGGTTTTAGATGGCTTCGTACCTCCTTTTCCGGCGTCAACGGCGTCTCTCCGGTGCATCTAGCCGACGTTGAGGGCTCTTCGGTTTCACTCGGCGATCCAGTCCTGCTCCACATTTTTGGTGAGTGAAAATTTTTATTTTCGGTAAAAATTAAAACAAGGGCAATAATGTCAAAATTTTTAAAAAATGTGGGCTTTATGTAGAAAAACGCGGGCGATGTTTAACAAGTCCCTTTTTATAATATACCTGCAAATGAATTAATGAATCCTTGTATGTTTTACAGTTCGAAAATTTGGAAGGATACTTTTCTAGATTAACCAAGGAAAAATATTGTACTGAGCATAGAGCATGTAATTCTAAATGAAGTAGCAACAATAAAAAGACCAAGACAAACATTGGAGCCATTCTTTCCTCTCTAGTTGAATAAAAGTGTCCATCATTGTGTAATTGGCTATGCAAATAGTAGTACCCAACTATGCAAAAATTCATCATCGCACACTCGCACTGACCTTCACGGTTCACACCATCCAATTAATCGAAACTAAAAATAATTGCCAGAGTCAAGAAGGTACTTTTACTAAGGTCATAATGAAGCAAAATACCAAAAGATTCAACAAATCTACCACTGATTGATGGCTTTTCAGATAATATCACGGGCCTAATAAGCCAAGCTAGCAGCACATACATGAAATCCAAGTCTGACTCGTCAACACTTTAGAAGTTCAGAGCTAAACAAGAAGCAGAAATTGGAATAGATTAAGACTTGAAAGGAACAGCCTAATTCATAAGTCTGCAAGTTAAGAACTAGAAGGACCCTTTTTTGCAGCCTCAGCTGCTGCCTTTTCTTCTTCAATCTCTGCAACTATGGCATCAATCTCAGATTCCTCAAGCTGATGCAAACCTTTTTTCGTCATCACAGCAACTTCCAAGTTCTTTCCTCCACTTTCAACCACCTGAGAAATTTTTTGAACAAAGTCAGTCGCTAATATGGAAGCAATGATACAGACCTCCAGACTCAAAAGCATATATTCGTATCAATTATCACATCCACCTTCAAAACTTCAGACAGATTGTACAAGATAGTAGCAAAGCTGCAATGTCTAAACAATGTACAACATCAAGGCCAGGCTTCAGAACTACCAATTTCAAAGTATGAGTATTTACAACAGTCTTAACTAATTGAATCAAAACATGCTCTAAGGATTAAGAATGTAGTGATCAAACTGTAATCATCACACGTCAGTTCCCCAAATTATAAGTCAAACCATGACATTTTGGGCAGCTTTACCAAATATTGACAGATATGTTCAAAGAGGAATACCTCTAGGTGATGGGGCACATAGATATAAGGATTTTACAGCTAAGATGAAGCAAGATCTTACCAGTTGAAGTTCATAATAATGTCACTACTTTAAAATAAACATAGAATTCCAAGACAACTTACTTCAAGCAATGCACGAATAGCCAGCTTGACAGTTTCTTGCCCAGATGTTTCTTTATAATTCTTCTCTAGAAACTCTCTTATTGAGTTAGAGTTTCTTCCAGTTGCATTAGCCTTCCAAGCTGAAAAGGTGCCAGATGGATCTGTCTGGTACAGTGCTGGTACATTAGTG